CAGATTTAGCTAGACTTTATCCAGACTTGTCTAGATTTCTCCAGACCTTATCCAGCCCTTTTCTGACCTCTCCGGACTTCTCCCAAACACTTTCCCGACTTCAAATACACTTTTCCAGACTTTATCCAGACTTGTCTGAATTTCTCCAGACCTTATCAAGCCTTTTCCAGACGATACCAGAAATTTCCAGGCTTTTCCAGACTTTATCCAGACTTTTCTAGACTTGGCTAGATTTTTCCAGACTTTATCCAGACTTGTCTAGATTTCTCCAGACCTAATAGAGCCTTTTCCAGACGTTTCCAGAAATTTTCTGGCTCTTTTCCAGACTTTATCCAAACTTGTCTGAATGTCTCTAGACCTTATTAAGCCTTTTCCAGACGTTTCCAGAAATTTCCAGGCTTTTCCAGACTTTATCCAGATTTTTCTAGGCTTAGCTAGATTTTTCCAGACTTTATCCAGACTTGTCTAGATTTCTTCAGACCTAATAGAGCCTTTTCCAGACGTTTCTAGAAATTTTCTGGCTCTTTTCCAGACTTTATCCAAACTTATCCAGACTTTTCCAGACTTAGCTAGACTTTATGCAGACTTTATCCAGACTTATCTAGATTTCTCCAGACCTTATCCAGCCCTTTGACCTCTCCGGACTTCTCCCAAACACTTTCCCGACTTCAAATACACTTTTCCAGAACTTATCCAGACTTGTCTGAATTTCTCCAGACCTTATCCAGCCTTTTTCCGACGTTTCCAGAAATTTCCAGGCTTTTCCAGACTTTATCCAGACTTGGGTAGATTTTTCCAGACTTTATCCAGACTTGTCTAGATTTCTCCAGACCTAATAGAGCCTTTTCCAGACGTTTCCAGAAATTTTCTGGCTTTTCCAGACTTTATCCAAACTTATCCAAACTTTTCCAGACTTAGCTAAACTTTATCCAGCCTTATCCAGACTTTATGCAGACTTGTCTAGATTTCTCCCGACCTTATCCAGCCCTTTCCTGACCTCTCCGGACTTCTTCCAAACACTTACCCTACTTCAATTATGTATAAGTAATTGCCTATCTATGAGTCGGCACTTAATGTATGCAAAAGCGGTAACAACCTTGAACTAACATAAACATATCGATTTTATATTCCGATTGCCTTATTTGCATAATTAAAGCGGTGACAACCTTGAACTAACATCTCGATTTTATAGTCAGACAATAGGTTCGTTCGCGGTGAGGATTCTGAACTGTTCGAAACTATTTCGCATGCGCAGTTCAAGTAATGGCGTTCGCGGATCACAAAGTTCAGAAACTTTTAGTTACGGTTCTGGATTCGCGGATCAACCAGAATCGGTCCGGAACCATTTCTGAACCAGATCTAGCGGTCTTTGGATTTTAGAAAGAAGTTCAGGATTGACACATAAAGTTCGTTTACCTATTAGACAGTCTGGAGAACTCGTTCCAAAACTGGTTGCGATAAAATAATGGCGTTTTCCATTTGTTGCACGGAGGTGCACTCAGTGCAATTTTTACATTCCATTTGACTGCACATTAACAATTTTTATTTTCCATTTGAAATCCAGTGAAATTATGTATGCACCTAGTGCGCATTTTTTGGCACGAGCTAGGAAGGCTCGTGGAGACCCAGTGCAGTTTATTTTGTTTTTGTTTACATGTGGAGGGTGGAAGGGCGCCAAAATTTGGACTTGCCTTGGGCGCCGAGGGTTCTAGTTGCGGCCCTGCTGGCAAGTGGTAAGTTGATAGAGACGAAAGGGGGAAGAAAAGTGGGGCGTAACTAGGGATAACAAACTATCGATAGGAATATCGATACTATCGATAGTTTTTTAATTTTCGATAGTATCGATAGACCTGTACCAATATCGATAGTTCCAATGTAGCCAAAGGTAAGTGAAAACATCTGTGTATTGAGGGAATTATAAAGAAATCTGTAGTTATTTTGAGAAATCTGTAATTATTTTTGGGGATAGACATGCTGTGCTGCCAATTTTTCGGTTAGGAGGAGTGACGAGTGACTTTGATGGACTTGATGGAGGTTGGAGGTTAATGTTTATCGTAATTAATTACAAATTTGGTTACTTTGGTCAGAGCAAACTATCGATAGTACAATCGATAGTTACTATCGATGGGTAGGCTATTCTATCGATATCACTATCGATAGCTTTTTTTTCGATAGTTTGTCAACCCTAGGCGTAACCTAAGAATATTCACTGACACCTCAACTGACACCTCTTGATGACAGCCATGTCTTTGGGTTCAGTGGCACCGAAAACACCAAGGAAATGAACCAATAAAATTATTAGATTTTTTTTTAAGTTTCGCCAGTAACCACGTCACTGTGCTGTCGTTCAGGTCTAACCTTAGGCTCTAACCAATAGAATCATGCCTCTGAATAATCACGCCTCTCCACATCCATCATTTCGCAATGTTGCCGGATTTTTTTCTATTTCAAAATACTACACATGTTCATATAGCAAAAAAAATATGTCACCAACTTGTTTATTACTGTTTCCATCAAGTTTGGCAAAGCAGCAAATTCTATTGCAGTTCGTCGTTTGGCTAGCCAGACAATACTGACAACCTAATTTTAACAGACCTGAGGCAATGACCTGAGGCGTTTCTCGAGTCTCAAATGTTTCAAAACATTTTTTAAAACTGGTTCAAGTAATGTCACCAATAAACCTACATAGATTGGATTGTATTTCGAAACGGTTTGAACCAATTTTGACGTGACGTCATGGGTTTATCGCGAGAATGTAGTATTGCAAGACAGTTTTGAACCAGTTTTAGAAAAGTAAACGCGAGAAAACGCCTCAGATCAGGGATTATTACATTTAAATACAACTCAGCAGGAAAACACACTTTTACTATTATCACTAAACGTCCTAGGTATCTAGTCAGCAATATTTCCGAATTCTAGATTAAAATATAATCTGTGTTCAGGGGATTATAGCGAGTAAGGTAAGGGTCAAGGGTGTCAGAGATTCCACGTCTTTAGGTACTCCGTCTGGGGATCAGCAGGCCGGGACTACAAACTGAAGGAACGCGGAACGCACCTACATATCGTTGTTCTGGTAATACACATTCTGTCTATCCAAAATATACTTTCAGTTAAGCAGTTTTCCCCTTCCTACTCAACCTTTCCAGGCGGCCGATTCTCGGGCCAGGGAGTAGAGCTCCCCGAGAGAACAAATTTTTCGTCTTTATCATTCCCATCCACTTTTCGATTACGTTGACAAGGACAAACCATTCGTTCTATCGTGGAGATCTACTACCTAAGACGAGAATCTGGCCCCAGGGTGGTTACAAGAGCTACACAGTGAAACCCGAACGGGTCCTGTCATGATAATATAGTCAATGGACAATGTCATACTCTAGTTCCACTGTAGAACACGAAAAATTTATAAATGCAGCCTTACTTCCATTCGAGAAATCGATTCCACTTAATTTTAATCACGATTCTTGTTTAATTATAAAATTTAAAAAATCAGCATTTGTGTAACTTTGGAGTTTGGGATATGGGGCGGGGGCGCAAATTAATAACCTACCACAGGCGCAAACAGGTCTAGTTACGGCTCTGAATGATAAGGTCTTGGATTGGAATAGGATAGAATTTATACTATATGAATGGTTATTGTGATCAATTATTGGTGTATAAATTACAAAGATTATACAACTCACTGTACATTATTCCCATATGACACGAGAGGCTTAACAAGTGATAAGCCTTTTGAGATTATCGCGCTTGGTGGCATTGATGGCAATTTTGTTATTAATAAGAACAAAAATTAATAAAGCAATAAAGTTTAGTTCGTTGTATAATCGAATGTAATACCACAAGAGGTTTCAGGATTACCGGATAATACTTTTACCTGTCACGAAACGCGTTACGCAGCAACACCACGACTCCGAAGGAGGAGTGGTGTTGCTGGTAACGCGTTGAGTATCAGGTAAAAGTATTAGGTAAGCCTGAAACATCGAGTGGTATTCAAAAGGTTATACAACGAACTAAACTTCAATTCTTTTTCAATTAATAATTTCATGAATCAAAAATTTAAATTTTTTGTCAAAAAATGTCAAAACACCAGTTACCGTGCAAAAGGATTATCACTTTTTAAGCCTCTCGTGTCATATGGGAAGGATTATCACTTTATAATCCTCTCGTGTCATATGGGAATAATGTACAGTGAGTTGTATAATCTTTTGAATACCACTCGATGTTTCAGGATAACCTAATACTTTTACCTGATACTCAACGCGTTACCAGCAACACCACTCCTCCTTCGGAGTCGTGGTGTTGCTGCATAACGCGTTTCGTGACAGGTAGAATGTAGAATTATTATCCGGTAATCCTGAAACCTCTTGTGGTATTACATTCGATAATTAATTTTTTTTGAATTCTCACCTGAGTCATCATTGTTTCGTAATATTTAATTATATTATCGAATGGAATTTGTTGTTTTTTCGAAATGTTGGCCAATATTTGATTTAACTTATTATGTTGTAAGATTGTATAGTGCAGAACTCCTAACTGTGCAAAGTTTATTATTGCCAGTTGTATATTGATCAATCGAGTCTTCAATTTTGGCACTTTCCATATTGAAATTAGGTATTTAATATTAATTTCAAATCTAACATTGCATGTAGATTTCGGTTATCAATGGAAATATTCTGTATCCTATTATCATTTTTTGATTTGTCTCAATAGTTAAAAATTGGTCATGAAACGTTTTCGTAATTTGTTTTAATACTTGGGATTGGCTTTTCAGATTTTTCTCAAGTATTTGTTGATTTTCGTTCAAGGTTTGGATGGGATGTAATAAAACAAATTAAATTTAATACCAAAACTTTTCAGTAAAAATCCTCTAGTTTTAATGCTTCAAAGTCTTTGATAGAGTGGATAGAGAAAAAGGAATGTCTCTATCGACCTTAGAAATCATGATCTCTTGTTTTAGAGAATTTTTCTTTTGGATCATCTATAGTAAAGTAAAATTCTCCTGCTTACCTTTTCTATCAGGTATTTATTAAAAATTGGCAAAATATACAATAATAATATAAAAATTCAACTTTGTCGGTTGTATATAAAAAAGGCACATTTAAAAAATAATTTGAACTATATAAAAATACAAGTACGTAATAACAAAATGCTTTCACTGCAACAAAACCGAACAACAAATTTAATTATCTTCGTCGTTTCCTAGAAGGAACAATTTGAATTCAATAGTCAACAATATATTTATAATCCTAAATAACATTAAAATTTAATGATTGTCTAAAATTTGTCTTCAGACAGGCACAATGCAAAGGCACAAGTTTATACTTAACATTAAAATGTTGTGTCAAATTTAGAAATATGTTAAAATATTGCAGTTAATTATTTCTTAACAAACGTGGTAACCGGTTCTTGTCTTTCTTTCTCTAAATTATTCCTAGTGATGTTGAAGGCTTCAGTTTTAATAAAATCCACTTTTTTATAAACCGTATCGCTCTCGTTAGGTTTTGATAAAGTTTTGCCACCAGACGACGTGCCTTCGAGATCCAAATCAAGATATTGCATTTTTCTACTAATATAAAGATAAACTTCCCCTTGGTTCTGATACAAATTATCCATAAGGCCTGGCGGCGTGGGACTAGGAGCTGCACGAATTTTCCTCGCCCCATCCTCGTCAGGCAAATGAAAAGATTTTCTCCTACTTGCCTCTTGCAAGGGCGTGGGGGGCTTAAGCTTTCTATCAACAGAAGGCGCTTGGGTCCTGGGAGAAGGTGGCTCGGTAGTTGAAGACGTCGACGGTGCATCTGACAGTTTTCTTCTTGGTTTTAATTCTCTGTTTACAGTTGGAGGAGGCATCAACTGGGCAGATTCAGCTAATGCTGGACTTGGAAGATTCGAATAGGCTGCAGTCGATGAAGTGTGCGAATGTGCTGGTGAAGAAGGTTCGTATTCCTGGGTGGCTTCTAAGTCATAGCGGAAAACCTTCAAATTATTGATGATTGTATAAAAAACTAATGGATGAAAATTACTTATCAATCGCTTACAGAAGTAACAGATGTACTTGGGCCAGGTTTTGGTGAAATGTCATAACAAAATACAGTGCCTTCAGCACATTTTACAGGAGCTGCATTGTTGTAACAGTGTCTTCTTTGTAACGTGCCCTTAGTTGATTCGGTGTCGATGTTGTGCGATCTAGGAAAATCGTACATATCATCCGAAAAGACTTTCTGTAAAGAATAATTTGAATGAAGAGTTAAAATTAGATGAATTGTTACTTACTGGTATGGCCCCCTTAGATCTGTCTTCGTTTTCCTTACTGAAATAATGAATAGAAAATAAGGTATGATTATTTTACTATTTATTTTGAAGAATAATTTTACCTTAATTTTGTAGGAGGCGTGGGAGTTAAATTTAAGTAACTTGGCGTAGGAGGAGTAATATGTGGTGGTTTTGGAGGTCTAGGCGGCGGCAAAGTCCCCTCCGCCCCTTTGGCGATTTTTTTACCGCCATCCAAATCCACAGAACTATCACGTGATTGTTTCGAAGCGTCAGTTTCCCTTTGTTGCCAGTCCTCGTCGTGAAAAACGCTATCGGAATCGGCAGGGCTGCGCAAAGGCGAATGTTCTTTGCTGGCCTTGTGCTGGCCCAAAGGTCTGGGGCAATCGTAGAATCGAGGATCTTGCGGATCGTTGACGTAATTGCGTTCGGGGTCTTTGTTCAAATTGACGTAACTGTTTTGGGGGTGGTATTCGTAGGAGTCGTTTGTATGTTGAGCGATGTAGCGTGCGCTGTTTCTTTGATTGTACTCCAAGAGGGTTTTGAAGTCTTTTGGATCGAATATAGGTGATTTACCTGGAAGAATTAATAATGTACCCTCAGGGTTGTGTAAAGACATTGTAGGAAATTATTTCTCTATATTTATACACGCCTTGCAAGTAAACATCTTGCATGCCGATTTCAATGCGATAGAATGAAATGTCTAGAGAAAGTCTAAGGTTGAATAGAGAACGAAAATGTTGTACCCTGTTCCACCTCCAGCAAAAAGCGCTGAGAATGCTGGAGGTGGAACAGGGGAAATCGTTTTCGTTATCTATTCAACCTTAGACTTTCTCTAGACATTTCATTCTATCGCATTAAAATCGGCATGCAAGATGTTTACTTGCCAGGCGTCTATAGGGACAAAAGGAAATGAAAATATCAATCTCAAATTACGTCAATTTTCTCAGTCTGCAAACTCAAGCCAATTTTGGATTCAGCATCATTCAAACAATAATAGAAATCAGCAAGAAAATGACAAGATGATTCCGAAAAGTCCATGCTGAAACTGCTGATAATTTAATTTTTCACGATTTTGCCAATTCAAAAAACTTAAGTGTACAAAATGCAATAGATTTGGACACAGAGATGGATTTTGCAGATTTCATACACTAAAATAGCATAGACTCACTGCAAGATCGTAAGTACATTACATTACTAAAGAGCACTCCAGTGCAGTTGCAAATAGATACTGGCCCAGATATTACCTTGATAGCTGAAAATACATGGGCTGATATAGGAAAACAAGAAGTTCACAGTACTAATCATAAGGCAGAAGATGCATCTGGCGAATAGCTCAGTATTTTATCAGAATTAACTTACGAAATTTCGTTTAAAGGGAAGTCATATACAGGAACATGTTTTGTCACACCTATATCAGGAATCTCAATTTATTAGGAACAAACCCATCAACTCAAATTGCAATTAATAATAAAATTGATTATTTAATTAAAGCTAGTCTTTCATTGAAATCAAAGTTTTCCTTTAAGTTATTTGAAGACGCTCTTGGAAATTTTTTTCAAAATTGCTCTCCATGTGCAGAAGCTACAAGGAAATCAAGAAAAGAGACACCTTGGCATATTGCACAGAATATTTGGGAGAGACTTCACATAGACTATGCTAGTCCTGTGAATGAAAATTATTATTTGCTAATCATAAATGCCTTTCCAAGGGGCCAGAACTCGGGCCAGAGGTTTTCACAACAAGAACTATAACTTCAAAATTCATGATTTTGAAGCAAGAAGAAACTATTTCCAGATTCGGAATTTTTAATACTATTGTATAGTATTTTTAATACCCATTTAGAATAACCCTATCCCTCTTTATCAATCACGAATCAGATGAAACAAAAAATTACCAACAAAAACGAATGTCTATTGCTAATACGTCAAATTCATGTACACATAGGAAATTCCTAACCTAATTTTATTTGCCTATTCAAGAAGCGACATACGTTTAGTCACTAGAATGACTGGTACTTCTAAATAGGTATTAAAAATTCTATATCTGATAATGGTTTTAGTGAAAATGTTCAGAATTATTGTCTAAAGAAGAGCATTCAATATATTCATACAGCTACATACTCACCACAATTCAATAGTCAAGCTGAAAGATTTGTGGATACACTGAAAAAAGAATTGATGAAAATGAAAAGGAAGGAACAGCCAGAGGAAGAACATATAAGCCAGTTTCTAGCAGCATATGATTCTATATCAAATGTCAGTTCTCCAGATGGATAATCCGCAGCAGAAATTTATTGGGAAAAAAAAATGCGGATAATAATGAATTTGCTGATGCCACAGACAAATCAAGTATTGTAGATGAATACCTAGAATCAGAATATGGAAAAAATATTCCCCATGAGAGAATTTCAACCAGAAACTTTGGTATATGCAAAAATATTTAGAAGAAATTCTTATACCTACTTGGATGCTAGGGGTAATCATTGAAAAAATTGGAAATGTTATGTACCTATAATGTCCATGTACCAAGTGATCGTGGACGTCTTCTCAGATTACATATCAATCAGCTAAGAAGGATATGGGGAAAACTCATCAATTAGGGCTTCGCGAGACCACAAGACTAGTCTTGGTCTTGTCTTGGTCTTGGTAGCAAGACCAACACCAAGACCGAAACCAAGACCTGATAAATTTTCTCAAGACCAAGACCAAGACTTGACGTTCAAGACCAAGACCAAGACTCTCTCTCAAGACTCTCGTCTTGGTCTTGGTCTTGAAAAGAAAAATCGACTCAATATTTATAAAAATATGCAAATTCCTATATATTCTCTTAATATAACTCCTATAACTGGTCTCTTAAACCATTCTATAGTAATTTAGCAATTACTTCTAATGAAAAATTTAGTTAAACTATAACGTTAGCTTGTCAAGCTAAAATTATTATTAATAAATAATAATTTTATGTTCTTCTAATATAGCTGCTCCACCTTCTTTGAATTTACTGGCCAGTCTTGGTCTTGGTCTCGAAAAATAAATGCGGTCTTGGTATTGGTCTTGGTATTGGTCTTGGTCTTGATGTTTCAAGACCAAGACAAGACTGGCTCAGTCTTGGTCTTCGTCTTAATAGCCTTGGTCTTGGTCTTGATAGTTTTGAAAAAAATTTATACCAAATTTTTAAAATATACATAACATCCAACGACAGAGCAGAGATAATGGGTTTAAGTACGACTTCAAAAATAAAAAAATAAACCTCCCTTTCTGAAAAAATTATGCCGTCGTTTCGACCATGCATTTGGTCTTCTTCACAGGCTATTTACCACCAAGAGCGTTTCATGTCAAAAAAATTCCGCATAAAGCATTCCACAACACAGAGGAACAAACAATTTTAATTAACGGAACGGGAAACTTGACAAACACATCATAAAATTGAGATTCTGTACCAAGGAACAAAATAAATTTATTTTTGAACCATAGATTAAACCTACCTTACCTACCTGAGCATTCAGGCCAGAGAAAGGTTATCAAGAACCCTCACATAGTCACATACCTCATTTGAATTTTATTGGCCTATTCACAATAATTAGATTTGGGTTAGTTTGAGTGAGATGTGGGGTTTGTGTTAGTTAGTTAGTTGAGAATTATCTTTGGAAATTCCAATACTTAGGTATTGTCGAGTTGTATATGTATTGTATTATGTAGGGATAGGAAAATATCGATGTGTTCTGTGTAAATGAATGTTACCTACACTATGTTGTATGTATGTATTTTTAAAACCTATAATACCTTCTCGTGAATTTCAAAAAATAATAAATTTGATGAATTGATTTGATTAAAAGACATTAAGAGAATATATAGGAATTTGCATATTTTTATAAATATTGAGTCGATTTTTCTTTTCAAGACCAAGACCAAGACGAGAGTCTTGGTCTTGGTCTTGAACGTCAAGTCTTGGTCTTGAGAAGATTTATCAGGTCAAGTCTTGGTCTCGGTCTTGGTCTTGGTCTTGCTACCAAGACCAAGACTAGTCTTGTGGTCTCGCGAAGCCCTAATTGATGAGTTTTCCCCATATTCATTTCTATTTTCTATTTGGGGGTCATGATTTGGTATATTGAAGGTACAATAACAAATGAGGAATTTCATTGTTGATTTCCTCAACCCTATCATTATATCTCCTTCTTAGCTGATTGATATGTAATCTGAGAAGACGTCCACGATCACTTGGTACATGGACATTATAGGTACATAACATTTCCAATTTTTTCAATGATTACCCCTAGCATCCAAGTAGGTATAAGAATTTCTTCTAAATATTTTTGCATATACCAAAGTTTCTGGTTGAAATTCTCTCATGGGGAATATTTTTTCCATATTCTGATTCTAGGTATTCATCTACAATACTTGATTTGTCTGTCTGTGGCATCAGCAAATTAATTATTATCCGCATTTTTTTTTCCTAATAAATTTTCTGCTGCGGATTTTCCATCTGGAGAACTGACATTTGATATAGAAGTATAAAGTATAAACTTTTTTCAAGACTATCAAGACCAAGACCAAGACTATCAAGACGAAGACCAAGACTGAGCCAGTCTTGTCTTGGTCTTGAAACATCAACACCAAGACTAATACCAAGACCACATTTATTTTTCGAGACCAAGACCAAGACTGGCGAGTCTTGGTCTTGGTCTTGGTCTTGCGAAGCCCTATCATCAATTCATTCTACTCCAACATCTCCTCAACCAGATAATGGGTTTGCAGAGGATGTGAACATTTCAGAAGAAAATTTACAAAATGATAACACAAAGAAGCCTAAAACAATGGAGCCAAATGAAATCGAGGCTTTAAACATTGAAACAGCAACCCATAGATTTGAAAGAGAACACAGAATGCCAAACTTTCTAAACAATTTCATTTTAGACTAAATGAGGGAGAAATGTAGGAGAAATAAATATAATTCTACACCTGGGTAAATATACATATTAAATCAGTGGTAATTTACAATTATTGATAGTTTGGGGCTGAAGAAATCATCTTCTCTTTCTTACTACTTTGATCAATTGTATTTAAAGAAGGCAATATTAAATATTGTACAGAACAGATTATATTATTAATTATAGTGTAATCACAACAAGAATCAAAAAATATTGCCATTTGTTTAGAATCTTTAGATTTTTCTATTAACAATATAATAATTTACCTGTTATACATTCCGATATAGGAATATAAGGACTTGTGCTAACCGGCGAAATAGGGGGAGTCTCACTAACTTGAGCTACTGCATTTTTTTCCTTCCTTATTTCAACTTCATTTGAATTCATTGCCATGCCCACTGTAAACAATAATTTCAAATATTTATCATGCAATTTTATCTTAAACCAATTAGTCATAAAAAAATGTTGGGAATCACAGCTAAAAATAACTATACTTCACTTACCATCTTCATCTTCGTTTGTGGATTTTAGGCCACACACTTTACAAATACAATTTACCCAAGATTTCATTTCTTCCTCGGTGTCTGCTGCTAAATAATAAGTACGATTTGGGGTTTTTATATCGAAGACATGATCGAATTTTAAGTTTTTTTCTTCCAGTTTTAGTCCAAGATCAACCTATGAAAATAAATTATTCAATTTGTTTATATTTATTAAGTGAAGCAAATTACCTGTTCACAATGATCCAGATCAATCACACCCTTAAGTTTCCTCCTGTTTCTATCTGTATAATATGTTAAAACATACTGTCCAGGAATATCACCAGAATGCTTTAGCAAAAACCACCTTCTTCTCCACCTCTGCAACAAAAACCAACTATTTTTATCACTATTACTTATCTGTTTATTTATTTTATTTTATTTTATTTATTTATTTATTGATCAACAATAGTATCCTTAAATAATAACAAAAATACCCAATATAGTTTACCTATACTTAACACTATTGCCTGAAGGAAAATAAATAAATAAGAACATTTCTGCTGAAGTCCTGATGGACTTGTGTGCAGACTTTTCTTGTTATTCCATTCAGTTATGCAGACCGCGTTTACATGTTGAAACAAAATAATAAGTAGTCATAGGAAGTACTTGAAAACACAAAACAATCTAAATTTGACCCTTAGCATACCAGGGAGCATACCCATTTCCATAAATTTACAACAATAATTATAAGTATATAAATAATAACAAAACAAAAAAATACCTCAGTAGCCCTATGTTGTATAAATCCATTGTCACTCTGCACTTCAAAAAAACAAGATTCATAAAGAGAATTTGCCTATTTTAAAGAAGAATTCTTTGAACCTAAAGATTGAATATGCAACTCGATATGCAAGTAATGTTATTTGAGTTTTCCATTTATTAGTTCATTAAAAAACGTACGGGGAGTTTCAAGAATCCATTTCTTCAAAATACTTCTAAACAATTTCAATATAGTGACATCCTTAAGAAAATCTGGCAAAAATCTATAGATGTAAGGCCCGAGAAAGGAAATTGTTCTTTGAGCAATTGTCTTTTTGGTTTTAATAGTTGCAACCCTCAGTTTCAACTTTTGTCGGGTATTATGTGGGTGATCAATCATATTTAGTTTGTGCCTATATCTGAATTGATATATTAACAATTTGAAGGTATATAATTTATTAATGTCCATTAGCTTACTCTCTTCATATGTTTTGTTACTTGAATAAAGGCGATTTTTATTGATCATTATCCTTAGGAAAACCTTTTGAATTTTTTCTAACTTTTCAATATGTATTTTATAGGCTCCACCCCACCCAACTATCCCATACTGAATTAAGGATTGAACGAGTGCACAATACATAATCCTAAGTTGTGAAAAGCAAAGAATTTTTTTTAGTTTTTTAAATTTAAAAAGTATAACACGTAGTTTATTTATTAGGTTGTTGATATGTACGTCCCATTTCAAATATCTATCCAGTACTATTCCCAAATATTTTATATTATCTGTCCCTTTTATAGTTACTTTTGAGTTATTTGCTTGTGTTACGTTAATTTCTGTGAAATTTGGAGCTTTTGCCTTACTACAACTGAAAGGTATGTATTTTGTTTTCTTAAAGTTAATTGTCAGAGACATCTCATCAAACCAATCCTTTATCTTTGCTAAATCCTTTTCTGCTTGTAGTTTCGTTTCTTTCCATGTTTTTCCACTGTATATAATAACTGTATCATCAGCAAACGATGCGATCAGCCCAAATGTATTTATGTTTAACAAGCCATTTATATACATTGTAAATAGGATTGGGCCTAGTACGCTTCCTTGAGGAACACCGTACTCCACAGTTGTTGGTTCACTAAATGTTTTACCGATCTGGACATATTGCCTTCTTTCACTTAGATATGATATTATCAGTTTTTCTGTAATTCCACGAAATCCTAGATTTTTTAAGACAGTTATCAGCATGGGGTGATCCACAGTGTCGAATGCCTTTGCAAGGTCTAAAAAAAATACCATAACATATTCATCATTATCAAGTTTTCTGTAAACATTATCCGTTACGTATGCTATGGCATCTTCTGTGGATAACCCCTGCTGAAACCCAAACTGTTTGTCTGATATTAATTTATATTTAGTAAGATAAGAAACAACCCTTTTTTTCATTATTTTTTCCACAATTTTTGAAAGCATAGAAATTAGGGTTATTGGTCTATAGTTTTCTATCTGTAACTTTCCCCCAGATTTATAGAGAGGTTTGATAATTCCAATTTTCAGCCTACTTGGATAGTATCCCTGTTCAAATATTTTATTTATTATATGTGTAAGTGGTGTTTTTATGTATGGAGCTAAAATTTGAAGAGTTTCTGTAGTAATTGTATCATATCCTGGAGATTTTTTCTTTTTCAAATGATTTATTATTCCTTCAACTTCAAGTTCATTTGTTGGTTCCAAAAAAAATGTGTTTTCTTGTATTTTTCCATTAAATTTAGTTTTTCCTGTTCTTTTAATTTTTTTCGCTAGATTTTTTCCCAAACTTGTGAAGTATTTATTGAACTTGTTTGCTATTTCTTTTTTGTTCGTAATTGTGCGCTCGTTTGATTTGATTTGTTTTATTTCTGTGTTTTGTTGTTCTTTTCCCAAATATTTGTTAACACTGTGCCAAAGATTTTTGCTGTTATTGCCTTCTTTATTTATTTCTCTTTGAAAATAGTCTTTTTTAGTTTTGTCTAGTAATCTTTCAAATATTTTTTTATACTGTTTGTAAGCTATTTGTTTTTGAATATTTTGGTGGTCCAACTGTGATATTTTATATAATTCATTTTTTCTTTTTGATGAAGTCATTAAACTTGGAGTTATCCACGGATGCCGTTTTTTTAAATTTTTTCTGTATTTAATTGTGTCTGTAGCCGAATCTACTGCTGCTTTCAACTTATTCATAAATAGATCCATTTTAATGTCCAGATTCTCAGTTTCGTAATAATCCGTCCAAGTTTCATTTTGTATAATATGTACAAGTTTTTTTGTATTTATTTTTTTATATTCGACATTTTTATTATTATCTAACAGAGATTCATCGATTTTTAAGACAGCTACTACTGGGTAATGATCAGTAATATTCCTTTTTATTATAAATGACATCAACTCCTGATTTAATTCACCTCTCATAAAAATATGGTCTATGCAGGACTTTGACCCATTTCTTTCTCTAGTGTATCCATTTATTAATGATTTAAATCCATGTTCACTAAGCAAATTTAGGTATTCATTAACATAATCTACGTTTTCTGATTTAATATTAATATTTGTGTCTCCAACAAAAAATGCTGTTTTGTAATTTTGCCAAGGGGAACTAGTTATGTAGTTTTGTAAGCTTTGAACCAAATCTTGAGGTTTTATGGCATAAGGCCTGTATAATGTATTTATTTGTATTTTTTGCCTATTAATTAAGAGATGCAGTTTAATCATTGTAACATTTTCTAATAACACCGTTTCAAATCTAAAATTATCCTTATATTTTTCTTTTATGTAAATGATTAGGCCATCATTCTGATTAAATCTACCCTCATTGTAAAATGATTCATAACCCACTATATTGAAGATATCCTTGTCCAAAATTTCCCAGGTTTCACCAAAGATAATTATGTCAAAATAAAAGTTGAAATCACTCAAAAGCAATAAAGCTTCATTGAAATTTTTATTAATGCTACAAACATTCATGTGAAAAATTGAAAACGTATGTTTGTAACCCTTCTCAGTTATGGATTGAAAAAATTCTTCTTTGTTGCAAACCTCCCTGGACTTTATGAGTTCCCGATCTATATTTTCCATATATTCATTCATGATTCTATTAAAATTTATTCCACTTTATTAATAAAACCCAATGGAATGCAAAATCTATTGATATAGAGAAAAAAAAAAAAAAAAAAAATGACAATGTTAAGTTTAAAAGGTATAAAAACATTTAGTTGGTTTCAACAAGATAAGATATAAATAAATAGGGACGGACACAGACAAACCGCACAATAGTTTCGAACCTATAAGTACCTAATATTAATTGATTGATTTTGAGTTGCCTTTTGGAGTTTTTGGAGTTACCTTAAGTTTTTTTAAGTCCTTTGAGCTTTGCTCTCGGCCAATACTGTCCCTATCCCTCTTCTTAACTTCTTGTGTAGTATTTCTTAGTATTTCCTGTTTTTGTCCAACTATTGTTTCTTTTACTTCCTGATAGTTTTCTTCAAAAAATTTATTGACGGCATCCAAAGGTATGGAGGGCGTATTAGGTACACTATTGGACTTCTGCTCAGCCGAAGCATCTTCCTCAATTTCTTGCAAGTCCTTAGCTGTATATATATCTCCGTTTATCACTAAACGATTGCCTCTTACAATTTTCGCATTTTGATTTTTTCCTCTTGCCAACTTTAAATGCTGTTGCAAAATCTTATGTTCCTGCCTATCCTGCACACAAAGATCCTGTGCAATAAATATCTTTGTGTTTTTCAATTTCTTAGCATTTGTTATTATGGAAATTTTTTTAAGGTAACTTACAAATTCCACCTTGATCGGATAGGACTTACTGTTTTGCTCAGTGTTCTTACTTAGTGCAAACACATTATTGAAGTCGTTTTCCTGTGTGTCTACGTTGAGAACGTTTTTAAAAAAAGTACTGACTTTTGTGACCAAGTTTTCATTTTCTTTTGGTATTTCTAATCCATAAATAATAATATTATTCTTTCTCAATCTTCTTTCAAGAACTAACACTTGATTCTCCAAACTAGCACAACGGTTCTGTAATACCTGTATGTTCTTCTGTTGTTCATTTAAGGAATCGAACAGTTTTTCATGTTCACTCTTTATATATTCCCTAATTTCAGTACTAGTTTTGCTTGCTGACTGGTTTATTGCCTCCAGAAGTTTATTATATTCTTCATTTGTAAAGTTTACCATACTTACAAATATTGGTGATTGGTGCAATTGGTCTTGTTCCAAATGTCTCAGCACTTTTTGTTGTGAACTTCGGAATTTTGGGTATTGTTACTTAACCCAGTAGTTTTCACAGTCAATTACAAGATGTTCACAAAATACGAATTTTTACAAGTCCGGCAATGTAAAAATTATAAAAAAACGACCACTTTATACCAGCAAAACTTGAAAAAACGCAGCGCGTCAACAAATAAACATCTGCATGCTACGATAGCCGAGCCATTCTCCATGATTTATTTGAAGTATGAATCATGTTCTATAATGCTACATTACTTAAGTACTTTTGACATGGAGATAAATAATTAAAATGACTTAGTACTTACTGCCCTCCATATCCTTTTGGTCGGTGGCGATTTGGTGAGCCACCCTTCGAAGACCACTTCTTCGGGAGACTTTGCCATCATTTATAATGATTTTAATCGTGTTTCTAGGAACAATTCATTTGATTCGATGACTAATTATTGCACTTTCTATTATTGCACAAAGTGATCAATTAAAATCGATACATTATTGGCTAATTGGAATTGAGGAAAAATGCTTCAAATAAATGCATGCAATCTTGAGTAATTAGTATTGGAATAATATGGCCGGATTTTGTTCTAATTGCCTTAAATTTAATTAATTAATACAGATTGTTAAAAAATAAAATAATTTCTAAAACTACTGTCAAAAAAAATGTTTTTGTCTAATTGTCAATGTCAAATTTAATGTCAGATGTAAGTCCAGTTTTAAAGCGTTTTATATTCGCAAGAGGTGGAGTAGCCTAGAGTGTAATAAAAAGCCGTAATAAATATTTATTACTTCTTGTTTAAAATTACCACAAACTCCTAACGGAGAGCCAGAGCCGAAAAAATTCTCTGGATTTCTACCATCATTCATTTTATTCAAAAATCGAATTTTCGCGAACTAGTTCCATGATTTCGTGAACACAAACGCTTCACGAAAAACTCATGACGTCATATTGAACTTAGTTCTCATTGGTTGAAATAAGTTTTTTGACTGTTTTCAACTAATGAAATTGGCTTCGATTGGTTTATGATTTCTGCAGAAACAGACCATAGTACAAGAGCTTTTGCTATCCCAGTGGTAGTCCCAGTTACTTTTGGTGACGATGGTAAATACATATAGCGCGTGGTCATTCAAGCAGTTGGATAGCGAAACTGTGCTGGTCAGTCAGCCCCATTGAGCTATTTCAGCCCCAATTTATGTTAAAAAATAATAGGTCTATTTATTTTTTTTATATAGATTTTATAAATCTGTTTTTTTTTAAAGATAAAAAAACATAAAAAAGAAAGCGCTACACGACTCCGGGTCACTCCGGACTCCGGGTTCCTAACCTCAAAAAAATCACATGACATTGTTGTTGTACTGTTGTAACTTTTATCTTGTATTTTATGGTTTTTCTATATACATTTTAGTTAAAAATTGCTTATAATGCCTAAAAAGAAAACAGGCCAAAGGAAAAAAGCCGAAAAACAACGTCTAAGACAAAAGGAAATCCGAACAGCGAAGGAGCACGTCCAGCTGGCTCAGCATCCTTGCAATGCTTCCATGGAATGTGAAAAATGCCACAGGTTAGTAGTTGCGCACTTTTCCGCATACTTTTTTGATGAGGAAAGTACTGCTTTTCAGCATGTGTGTGGTAAATTACTTCACCTATGAGCGTGCGGTAAAGTGCACTTAGCCTTTTGCAAATGGCAAGTAGCACTTTACTTTACCGCATAGTATGTGGTAAAGTGGACTGCAAAGTGTGCGGTAAAGTTAACTTTACCGCATAGTGTGCGGTAAAGTGATACTTTCCATTTGCAAATACGTGCGGTAAAGTGCACTTTACCGCACGCTCGTAGGTAAAATCTTTTTTTTGCAGAAAATGGATTTTTGATCATTTCTAAATCCAATCTAATTTCATCAATGAATCTGATTCATTTATTAATTGTATTAATTCCTTTTTTTGGAGATGTAGATGCTCATAAGTAAAATTTTGTACCTAACACATGCAGAAAGTGCCTTTACCGCCCTTAACGGCTTGATCAAACTCCGCTTCGCGTCGTTTGGTCAACTGTCGTTGCTTAAAGTATCACTTTCCGCATTTGTTAGGTAAATAACGATTATAACACATGTGCGGTTATAAAGTAGGTACTTTACAACACATTTGTGCTAAAGTTTTTTTTAAAAAATGAGGTACTGCAAGTGTTTGGTAAAGTTTAAGTTACTGCACATCATAAAATTTAGCAGTGTTTGAGTCTTTGTGAAATTATGGTTCTTTCAGGCTCTAATCGAGTACCTAGTGAATTATCCTTGGGACTTGCACGAGGACTTGCCTTTTGCTTCTGTTATTTTTTTAAACTACATTTTGAAGCTTATAAGGTAAAACTTTGTGCCTTACACGGAGAAAGTGCTTTCACCGCTCTTATTGGCTTAACGGTCCAAATTTGCACTAAAAAAAATTGGAAGGGAGACCTTTCTTTGAACATGAATTTTTGAAAACTTTGAATATTCATATTTTTATTTCTATCACAAATAGAAAGCTGAAATTTTCAACGATTCTCATTCTAGCTGAGGACTATAAACCCTGAAAATTCCAGCTCATTTGGACTTATAGCTCCGGAGAAAAAATCGCGTTGGGGAATTTAGGGTGAATTTTTGGATTTTTGACTTTTTCTGCGGTCCTTTTTTCACCCTTTGGAGAGGTCATCAATTTTCGGAAACTTTGAATAATTATTATCTTTTTTCCTCATTACACAGTTTTCCGGTTCTGTGATATGTGAGGTGATATGATATCTGAGGAGACACCGGGTGCTCTTTTGAGATGATGGCAGGTCTTAGTATATAACTTTTCACACGATCTGAGCGGTGTCTTAGTATATAACTTTTCACACGATCTGAGCGGTGTTCAGCACTACTGTTCCCGCATGCTTAGACTGTTGTCGTTGCCAGGGACCTCTTTGATGATTTCGCATGTATAGGTGGATACTAGTCCCGTAGCGCTGATGACAATGGGGATGACTTTGGTTTTGAGATTCCACATTCTATGAGTTACAATTTCCAGATCTTTGTATTTCAGACGTTTCTTGGCCTCCTTTTGAGTAGGGTTGTAATCCGATGGTATTGAGATGTCAATCAAAAGACATGTTTTTTGCTTGGTTTTTTGTTTTTTGGTTTTTTTTGTCTTTTACAATAATATCTGGTTTATTTGCAGTTATTTTCCTGTCGGTTTGTACTTGATTATCCCAGATTATCGTTGTTTCAGGTGTGTCAGTGACAGGGTCAGGGACGTGTTGATACCATCAGTCTTGGATTTTTATGCCATATGCTTTACATCTCCAGTGTAGTTGTTTTGCTACAGCGTTATGGCTGTCTAAATAAGCTCGTTTGGTGAGGATAGGGCAGCCTGACACCACGTGATGAATGGTTTCATGGTACTTGGTACTTCCGGCACAGTTTACTTTTGGGGTCAATGCCGGTTTTCATAATTTTTGCCTTCATGTAGTTCGTCGCGATGGCTTGCTCCTGACAAGCTGTTATGAGTGATTTCGTCTCGGCTTTCAGATTGGCATGAGTGTGCCATTTCCAACTTTGATTTTTCTTCACTGTTTCCTTTTCGGATTCAATCAAGATTTGGCCATGCATTGATTTTTCTCTCCATTTGTTCCTGTTGTTCAGCTTTTTTCCGATTTTTCATTCTGTCTTTTATGATTTTTACTCTGTTGGTTTCTATCTCCTGTGGGTTTGTATGTTCGATTTTTTCATTTTCTTCTTGTGTGTCTGCTTGCCAATATTTTCGCTGTTGGCGGTAGACTATACCCAAGTATTTTTTCATTCTGCTTTAGGGTTAAATGATTTTGTATGCCCTTCATTGCAGTTTTAAAGGTCGTTTCTACATTGGTTAGTCCCCAGCCTCTCTCTTTTCGTCAGATGTCTAGTCTGTCGATGTCTGCCCTAGGGTGGAGTGCTACATGGATGTTGAGTAACTTTCTAGTCGAGTTTCTAGTTTTCGAATCTATTTTATTTATCTCTGCTTTCATCCATTTGATTGTCCCAAAATTGTATGATAAGATAAGTATTGCTAGTGATGTAATTGCAGTAAATTTGTATTTTGCATTCAGTTGGGTTTTTAGTATTTCAGTATTTAGTATTTCAGTGCGTCGATAGTATTCTTCTCTCAGTCTGCTTTTCATTACTTCATGAGTCTTGTTTGTCAATGCCCAGGTATTTGTAAGTTTCATGGGGTTGAAGTGACTGTATGATGGTTGAATCATGGAGTGTAATGTTTTCCTTTGACTACAGGTTGCCTTGGCGCACTTTTCAAGGCCAAACACCATTTAAATGTCGTCACTGAATCTTTTTACTAAATCGAATTTTTTGATTAGTTCCTCTTCTTTTTTTGCAACCAACTTTAAGTCATCAACATACAGGTGATTGATTTTTTGCTTTTCGTTCCTACATCGGTAGCCTGTATCTATGTCGTTTAAGATTGTGCTTAAAGGAAACAGTGCAATACAAAAAAGTAATGGAGACAGGGAGTCACCTCGGTAGATCTGGCTTTTTATCTTTATATTCTTCACTGTGATGGTTTCCTGTCTGGTTTTAGGTTTAGATCAGTATTCCACATGGTCATGTTTTTGCATAAGAAATTGAGCAACATCCGTGATGTACGATATATGTTGAGTGTTTCAATTAACCAGCTGTGTGGAATGCTATCAAAAGCTTTTTTATAGTCTATCCAGGCTAGTGATAGATTTTTGCCACTTTTTTGTAGTCTATAAATTTCTTGGCTTGTTAGTAAATGGTCTTTGCAGCCGTATGAGTTTTTAACACATTATTTTTGTTCTGGAGAGAATAGATTGTTTTAAGATAGATGTACATGTAATCTCTCTGATATTACTTTTGCTAGGGGTTTGAATAAGTTGTTTAAACGGGTGATGGTTCTATAGTTTTCCGGTTCTTCACTTTTTTCATTCTTTGGTATTAGATGTGTCTTTCCTTTTGTGAACCAATCAGGTATAGTTTCCTCTTGTTTGATTATGCTGTTGCTGTTATAGGCTATCGCTATGTTTCCATGTGTAGCTGTAAGTTTTTTCAGCCAAAAATTTGGTATTCCTTTCACTCCAGGGGATTTCCAATTAGCGGAGGTGTTTATCGCTGTTCTGATTGCGGCTTTAGTTATGTCCTCCCATTCCATTCTTTTCAAATTCGTGGTTCTGTCATATTCATTTTGTATCCATGTTGCTTCGCTGTTATGCTTCGACTCTTTTTCCCATACGTTTTTTCCAGTATTTCTCGATGTTTTCTCTTGTGAGAATTTGAGATGTTTCTATCTTTTTCTTAAGTACTGTGTTGTAGAACTTGGGTGTATTTTCAGAGAATAGCTTGTTCTGCTGATATTGTTCATTCCGTGTACTATATCTTTTTCTTCTACATGCTCTTGCTGGAATCTGTTGTTTGAGTTTTTCTATGATTGTTGCATGACGTTTAGCATTCTTTATTTTATGTTTATTAAAGAGAACTATCTTTATCTCTTTTATTTTAGAGCTCAAGTTTGGCTTTTGAGATTCAGGGAGGTGTGATAGTTCTTTTCTGTAGTTTGCTATTTTCTGGTTTAACCTCTTTTTCCATGGTGGGTCTCCTTTTTAATTTTTGCTTCTCTTCTGTGTTTGTTTTGACCTGGGTGTTGGGATGATTCTATTTTGTATCGTTTCTGCTACTGCATACATTATTTGGTTGATGTTTGTTAGGAATTATTTAAATTGTTCAAGTTGTTCTTGTAGAATTTTTTCTCAACGGCCCTCTTTGTATACTTTGGGCCACTGCTGTCTTCTTGAGTTTTTTTAACGATTTCTTCAGTGAATTCCCGTTGTTCGAAGTTTTTCTCTGCAGTATTTTTGACCTGGCAATAACACTTGCCTCTTCTTGTGGCAAATGTAAAAGTACGATTTCTGGGAGCGATGTTGATGTTTCTACATCACTGTTGTTGATAGTTAGGTTATCCTTTCTTCCTTGGGTTTTAAATTTCTTGCTTGACTCTGATGTGTATATCTTATAGCTGCTTATTTGTTAACTTATACTCATTAAGTATGAATCTTCTCTGTAGCTAGCGAGGTAGCTAGTGTGTTAGGGGTGAGCTTATCCTTAACCTTCCGTCGTTAACGTCCGGTCTAACAGACCGACTTAGGTACGTTCCGCCGATACCGAGAGATGGCTCCATTTGTGCTACTGTGCATTTGTGCTATTCCGCAAATGGTCTACTCACTGTTATTTATATATTTTATATTGCATATTCTGTGTTCATTTCAAGTTATCAATAAAGTATCAATCAAAATAAAAAAAAAAAAACAGTCATTGCTTTCGGCTATCATCAACTACCTACTCTGCTTGTAGATTCTGTGGCTGATTTGCTGAGAATTAAATAGCATGGGAAGTCTAATACAGCCGCTAAGGGCTATGTGGAGAATTCGATAACTATAATAAACAGGAAATTGTCACCAAAGTTGGTGAGACTTCCATGGAATTGGAGAAAACATTCAATTTATTCATTTAATTAATGCTACACAGAAAATTATGTTGTCAATATCAT